GCTGGAGGTGTGTTGATGGCCCTAGCTGGAGGTGTGTTGATGGCCCTAGCTGGAGGTGTGTTGATGGCCCTAGCTGGAGGTGTGTTGAGGCGTGTTGATGGCCCTAGCTGGAGGTGTGTTGATGGCCCTAGCTGGAGGTGTGTTGATGGCCCTAGCTGGAGGTGTGTTGATAGCCCTAGCTGGAGGTGTGTTGATGGCCCTGGAGGCGTGTTGATGGCTTTAGCTGGAGGTGTGTTGATGGCCCTAGCTGGAGGTGTGTTGATGGCCCTAGCTGGAGGTGTGTTGATGGCCCTAGCTGGAGGTGTGTTGATGGCCCTAGCTGGAGGTGTGTTGATGGCCCTAGCTGGAGGTGTGTTGATGGCCCTAGCTGGAGGTGTGTTGATGGCCCTAGTTGGAGGTGTGTTGATGGCCCTGGAGGCGTGTTGATGGCCCTAGCTGGAGGCATGTTGATGGCCCTGGAGGCGTGTTGATGGCCCTAGCTGGAGGCGTGTTGATGGCCCTGGAGGTGTTGGTGGCCCTAGCTGGAGGCGTGTTGATGGCCCTGGAGGTGTGTTGGTGGCCCTAGCTGGAGGTGTGTTGATGGCCCTGGAGGTGTGTTGATGGCCCTGGAGGTGTGTTGGTGGCCCTAGCTGGAGGTGTGTTGATGGTCCTGGAGGTGTGTTGGTGGCCCTAGCTGGAGGTGTGTTGATGGCCCTATATATATATATGTATATATATATATATATATATATATATATATATATATATATATATATATATATATATATATATATATATATATATATATATATATATATATATATATATATATATATATATATATTATGAATATCAGAGGTCCCAGGACATTGGACCCAGGACAATTATTGTGCAAGTGTAGTATGTATATTTATGTAGTATATTTGGCATATTTAGTGGCATTTAGTTAATGCCACTTAGTGGCATGTCTCTGCACCCTTTCCAGTTTGTTGATATGCTTCTTAAGATATGGGCACCATACAACTGCTGCATACTCCAACTTTGGTCTAACAAAAATTGTGAACAATTTCAAAATTTCTGTTGAAGAAATCCTGTTTCCTAGTTCTGCATCTGTTTTGGTATAACACCTCCTTTTTTACTAGGCCTGCAATTATGAATGGTTTTATAACCAGCTAAGTTGTAGAGTTGGGTATAGTCTTTACTTAGCCAAGTTTCTGTTAAAATGAGGGTCCGTCTAATTACCACAAGCTACCACAAGCTTCACAAAGCTTCCTGGCAATACGTTAGTAATGAATAAATGTAATATGTTAGGTTAGGTTGACCTAACTTAACCTAACCGACGCTTGGATCGTCGACTTGATTTGGCGTCACCAGCTCTTTATTTTCGTCTAATTTCTTTATAAAAAGATACTTTTTCAGATTAAAATTATGTTTTTTCGTGTTGTACATTCAGCACCAACATTATAATGAGTAAATATATCATATTTATTCATTACTAACGTATTGCCAGGAAGCTGAGTGGTTAGGTCTCGATAAATTTCCTGTTATAATATTATTGTTTGCTATTCTCCATCTTAGACTAGGCAAGTTGAAGTCACCTAGGAAGATAATATGAGGTATCGAGTTTTCCATTTTGTTTATCTGTTCTGTGAATTCCTCGGCCGTTGCATCTGGCGGTTTGTATATTAGAATAATCACTAAATTTATTTTCTCTATTTTTAATCCCAATACCTCTACCACCTCATTTGTAACGTTAAGGAGCTCCGAGCATACAAGGTCTTCCATAGTATACAGACCCACTCCTCCATGTGACCTAATTTTCCTATCACAGTTGTGTACTTTTCGAGACTACATTTCAAATATTCCCTAACATACATGGCTTCTCCCCCCTCCTTGTGTATTATATCTTTGTGTAAAATAGTTTAAATCCATTTATGGGACATTCAGCAAATAGTTCTCTATTTTTTACATTCATCAATGTTTCGGTACGTGCAATAGTATGTATTGTTTCATTGCAGATAACAGCATTTAAATTTTTTTTGTTTCTTAGACTTAGACTCGTACTACCAAGTTGCTGTTGGCAATTGGATAATTTTTTTATGAAGTCATTTGTTATTTTTTCCCCTACTTTAGTAATTTATGCTTTTGATCTCAATTAGTTTTATATCCTAGCTTTTTAATTTTTTCCCCTTATATATTGCCATCTTATCTGTCTGTTTTACATGGCTTAAGCAGAGTCATGTCTGCTTAAGCCTTTGTTATTTTACTAATTTACCTGTTTTAATTATTATTTGTTTTCAAAGTTTAGTTTACCCCATTTTATTTGCTTTTTGCAGTACAGTACTTTACTAATAATCTTGTAATAGTAATTGGTAATGTAGCACTTGGCCTTTCTCCTTCAGAATGTATGCACACATTATAGAAAGAAGAAGAGAATACCACACAAGATGGCAGCGTATGTCACGGGCCAAAAAGCGACGCCTAAAAGAACAGGCATCCCAGCGTAGCAAAAATGAAAATAGTGATGAGGTTGAGATTCAGTTGTTGAATCAGGATCCTTTGGCCAATGTTACAACAAACAGCATAGACGATGACCATGCTGCTTTGTCATCTAATTCAGAACCTAATATTGGTTGTGGAGCCAATGAAGATGCATCATCTCTTGAAAGTCAGAGAGAGAGAGATTGGACTTGGGACATGATTGATGAGCATGACCCAATTTCATCAGAGTCAGAGAGCAGTGGTGATAAGAATGATAAATCATTATCAGATGTATTGTTACTATGGGTTAATAAATATGGCATAACACACAATGCCATTGATAATTTATTAAAAAAATTGAGAAAACAGGGACATGCTGACTTGCCAAAAACAGCTCGTTCGTTACTGAATACAGTTAAACATATACCTACTGAGACTAAATCAGGCATGATGTATATCTACTTGGGGTTAGAGGAGGAAATGTTGAAAACTTTAAGGCTGTATCCTAAATCAACAATAAGAGATTTGGCAGAAATATCTTTAATTTGCAACATTGATGGTTTGCCAATATTTAGAAGTAAAAATGAAAGTTTATGGCCTGTTCTTTGTGCTATCAATAATGTCAAACCTATAAGAGTTTTCCCAGTAGTCCTCACATACGGAAGCTCTAAACCTAGTGATTTAGATTTTTTAAATGAATTCATTCAGGATTTGAAAAAATTATGCACTATGGATTTAAAAATGATGACAAAACATTGTCAGTAAAACTAAAAGGAGTCATATGTGATGCCCCAGCAAAAGCAATGGTGAAGGCAATCAAACTCCACTCTGGCTACTTTGGGTGTGATAGATGTACCCAAGAGGGTGTTTGGAATGGAAGAATGACTTATCAACAAGTGAAAAATTTACAACTCAGAACCGATGAAGATTTTCGTAATCAATCTAATTCTCAACATCACCATGGTAGATCACCATTCTGTGACTTAAATATAAATATGGTGAGTACTTTTCCCATAGACTATATGCATCAGATATGTCTTGGGGTTATGAAAAGGTTACTTCTTGCCTGGATACGAAATAAAAACGTAAAATTATGTGCTCGCCAAGTTGATGAAATTAGTCAGCGTCTAATTAAAATAACAAAATTTGTGCCTATGCACTTTGCACGTAAACCTCGAAGTCTTTCAGAGGTTGATAGATGGAAAGCGACTGAATACAGGCAACTCCTTCTCTACACCGGTAAGATTGTACTGAAGGGAATCTTACCCAAAGAATTGTATGACCATTTCCTGACTCTGAGTGTAGCCATTTCTATTCTTGTATCACCTAAATTGATTCAGTTAAATTACAGCCAATATGCACATGATCTTTTGCTGTACTTTGTGTTAAAGGCTCGTGAGCTGTATGGTAAGGATTTTTTAGTGTACAATGTACACTGCCTAACACACATATCCTCTGATGCCAAAGAGTTTGGTAGTTTGGACAGATGTTCAGCATTTCCATTTGAAAATTACCTGCAGCAGGTTAAGAATATGGTTCGATCAAGTAAAAACCCTCTTGTTCAAATTGCAAAGAGGCTGAAAGAGATGCAGCATGCTCAAAGGATTTATACACCAAATACAGAACATAAAATATATACCAAGGCACCAAACAATGCCTATTTGCTGAATAATGAAACTTGCTGCCAAGTTTTGGACACTGTCAGTGACACCGATGAAAATGGAGACAGCATGTTCCTTTGCAGAGTATATTCGAGAAGTATACCTCTCTTTGAGAAACCTTGTAACTCCAAATTAATTGGATCATTTAAGGTTCTTACTAGGAATTCATCCATGAAGGTGATTCCAGCAAGAAAACTAAACCGCACAGGTATGATGATCGAGACAGAAAGCGCAAATACTTTTCTGTCAATACTACATGACTTATGACAAGTACGTATTTAAATACTGTATCCATTCTTTAATAATAGTTTGAACTAATATTGTAAGTTAATGAGATTCACAATTTTGTTTTTTATTAAAGCTATTATCTTTTGACCAATATTTACCTGTTTCAAAATCCCATTACCTGTATTTCATAAAAATTATTAATATTTTGAGAGCACATTAAGAGATAAAACTGTATTAAGCCTTTTAGTCCATACATGGCAGCTACTGTTTATACCAACCGAAAATAATTTACAAATGTGGCTAATCTATGATTGACATAATCAAGTAAATCTATTACCAACTTTATGCTAATTTCTTTTTTGGGGGAGAACAACCCTTAATAAGATTTTTCAATTTTGTAGATGACATCTGAAAAGCGGTATGCAGTGGTAGGCTTCAATGATGATAGTGTGGGTATCATCTCCACAACCTGGATTGAAAAATCTGATGATGTAAGCATTACTTTGAAACTAAAAAAATTCATTTAATGAGTTGGTTTAAAAATATTCCAAATTAGTGCTAAAATTAGCATGTAACAGTTTATTTTGACTTTTCAGGAAAAAATATTGTGCTGGTGGCCTCGGAGCAGGCATACAGTTAGTGCCCAAAAGCATGAAAAGCCAGACACGACAATCTGGCGAGTGCATGTCATATCATCAATCCTATCAACAACCGGTAGGTATTACATTTATGATTATTAAGATTTAAGATACAAGACACCTATTCATTCATTCACCATAACTTTAACACTGCAGACATAAAAACAGCATTATAATTATATTTTAATCACAAGATGGGTTTCCTCATAGCTACTTAAGACTTGTGTGCCCCAGTTATAAGTTCCAAATCATGTACGTCGTATTATTAAACATCTCTTCAGGAAGCTGATTTAAGTTATTTCTTAGTGTTCACTACAACTAGGTAACGATAAATATATATCTCGCTGATATATTACTAATTATATTCAATTATTACAGATGATTTTGACGTTGCAAAACGAAGATGCTTAGCTGCGGAAGACACTTCAAATGTCGAAACTGAAGACGATATGGGCTATCCTCTACAATGAAAAAGGAAACCATGCTTCAAATATGAAGAAGAGAATTCCGAGAATAACAAACGTAAGCATTGATAACCTACTACAGTAATTTAAAAAAAAATTGCAACTTGAAAAATGCCATTCAATACATTAAACAATTTAAATAATTTCAGGCAATCATCACTCGTCTCAATCCAAGAAGAAGTGTTCGCCATCTTCATATGAGAATACACCTGCAAAAGAAATAAGTCCTCCGCAAATACCATATTATTCTGGTATATTAAGTGAATGTAAGGATTAGTAGTAAATAACATTAAAAGTTCTAAATTGATATTTAACCATGCTTCCTTTGTTTGGTTATTTATGCTTTTGGTTTAAAAAAAACTAAAAACTGCTCTAAACTTAGTTCTTGCTGTTTTGTTTTGTTTAATTCCTTCTGGAAGTACTAGAAGCTTTGAGTAATTTTTATGCTTATCTGGAATTTCTGTATAGAAATATGTGTTTATTTCTAATTGTTTAATATTAAGTATATTATTCTTTTATGTGCATATGAGGTCTAGTGAACTTTTCCCACTTTGTCTAGCAGGTGCTTTTCACTTGTCACAGTTCAGGGAAATTTTGGTTTTCCTTTGATCTAGTCACTAGAAACAACCAGGTTTGTTATTACTTTTCTTTTTGTTTGTCCCTTACGTGTTAATTTGTCATTTATCTTACCTTTACCTTACGTGTTAATTTGTCCCTTACCTTAAGTTAATTTTTAAAATATGTATCTCATGTTGACCCCCACCTCTCTCATGTTAGTTCAAACTATATTAAAGTCTTAAAAATATTATTTGGTTAACAAGTGTTTGAAATAAGCATAACTCCTTTTCAGCTAATAGAACAGTCCTACAAAAGCCGTCTCCAGTGAAGACTACACTTCACAATACACCTTCAACGCCATCAGTATTTCCTCATGAAGGTAATAAGTTAATTTTTTAAATATTTATCTCATGTTGACCCCCACCTCTCTCATGTTCAAACTATATTAAAGTCTTAAAAATATTATTTGGTTAACAAGTGTTTGAAATAACATAACTACTTTTCAGCTAATAGAACAGTCCTACAAAAGCCGTCTCCAGTGAAGACTACACTTCACAATACACCGTTGACGCCATCAGTATTTCTTCATGAAGGTAATAAGTAATTATTTAAAATATATATCATGTTGACCCACTCTCTCATGTTGACCCTCATTCTCTCTCTCATGTTGACCTTCCTTTTCTCATGTTGAAATTTGTTTTGTTAATTTTGTTCTGTCACCTCTTCTTATTCTGTGTGTATGTGTCTGTCTGTCTCTGTATGTCTCTCTATCTTTCTTTTCTTTCTTTTTCTTTATTTCTTTCTTTCTTTTCTTTTTTCTTCTCTTCTCATGTTGGCCCTCCTCTCTCTCATGATAACCCCCCCCCCCTCTCTGATGTTGGCTCACCCTCTTTCTGATGTTGGGTAGTTTAAATGTGATGTAGACATATAGTATAACTTATAATATTATTATGCAGTAGTAAAAGCTCATGAAATTTGTTGATTATACAGTACAGTAGTTAGATTTTAATAGCTAAATCTTGCAATCTTGAAAACAATGAGCTGGTCACGCCAAGTACATCAGTCGTTAGGACTCCAAGGTCAAGGAATTTATTCGACCCAAAGTCACCAGACAAGAACGATGGGAGTTTGAAAGAAATGATGCAGAATATGAGTAAGCTTTGAAAGTTTAATTAATTTATTATGTAGCCTATAACCTATATGTACCCTATGGGTGATAGGCATAAGTTTCATGTTCAAGTAGACTGCAAACTGAGCAGGTTAGATTGCTGAATATGCTTCCAATTATATAAGCAGTTTCATAATTACTAAGAAATTATCCCATTATCTATCACATCAGTCATAGCCTACTTTTTGGGTGCTTTCTCAGTGTCAGTTATTTTAACATATACTTTATAATGCTTTTATTTTAAATGTACATTCAAGATATGTAATATAATAGCATGTACACTTTCTATATACTGTATAAATTTCCAGGTAACATGTTGCAGGCCATATACACTGAAGTGAATGAACTGAAAAGTGATGTGAAGATATTGAAAACAACTTTGACTACAAAAGAAACAGACAAGATCATAGAAGATCTAATACCAAATCCTATTGCTGCAGAAGGTGATCTTAATGCTCTCAAAAGGAAGTTAGCGGAATCGAGTTTCAGAACAAAATTTGTAAGTGGTATTTTAACAGTAATGTTTCCTTCAATTTTTCATCTTCTTAAATATTACAGATATTTGCTAATTTTCTAATTAAAATTTTTTGATAGTTCATGCAGAAAAGATAAAATTGCTAAATAATAAGAATAATGATATAATATTGTTTATATAGGATAGGATAAAATCTAACACTTACGTATTTGTAAATTATGTAATATTAACACAGAGTCTTTCACACTCTCCTGAGTGCTTTCTCAAGGTCTTGAGTGTATGGTTAGGATGAGGCTTACATCTCAACGACTATATTTCTCTTGCTAATTTTGTTAGTCGTTGAGATGTATCTCTTCATAACACACACTTATCTGCTTGATGGGGGTCTGGGAGTTCTTCTACTCCCCAAGCCCGGCCCGAGGCTAGGCTTGACTTGAGAACTTTGGTCTAGTGCTTGGCTTGGGCTTGGTGATTCTGGGGATTGTGGAGGCTGGTGGTGAAGATGCCATGGCTGGTGGTGACGATGCCATAGCTGGAGGTGACGCCATGGCTGGTTAGGACTCCATTGCTAGTGGTGACTCAATGGCAGGTGATGATAGCATGGCTGGAGATGACGCAATGGCTGGTGGTGATGCTATGGCTGGTGATGACGCCATGGCTGGTGGTGACGCCCATGACTGGTGGTGATACCATAGCTGGTGGTGATGTCATTGCTGGTGAGGACGCCATGGCTGGTGATGACATTATTGCTGGTGATGATGCCATTGCTGGTGGATACGCAATAACTGGTGATGATGCTATGATTGGTGGTGACGCCAAGGCTGGTGGTGACGCCATTGCTGGTGATGATGCTATGCCTGGTGGTGACGCCATGAGTGGTGATGACGCTGGTGATGATGCCATTGCATCATCACCAGCCATTGTGGCATTACCACCAGCAATGGCGTCACCACCAACCATGATGTAATCACCAGCCATGGCGTCACCACCAGCCATGACATCACCACCAGCAATGGCGTTACCACCTGCCATGGCATCACCACCTGGTGATGATGATGGCTGGTGATGATGCAATAGCTGTTGGTGATGCCATTGCTGGTGGTGATGCCATGACTGGTAGTGACGCCAATGCTTTTGATGACACCATGGCTGGTGATGATGCAATGGCTGATAGTGACGCCATGGCTGGTGGTGATGCCATGGCTGGTGTGACGCCATTGCTGGTGCTGACGCTATGGCCGGTGGTGATGCCTTGGCTGGTGGTGACACCATGGCAGGTGCTGATGCTATGGCTGGTGGTGACACCATGGCTGGTGGTGACGACATGGCTGTTGGTGATGCCATGGCTGGTGGTGACGCCATGGCTGGCCATGATGCCATGGCTGGTTGTGACTCTATGGCTGGTGGTGATGCCATGGCTAGTGGTGATGCCATGGCTGGTGATAACGCCATTGCTGGTGGTGACACCATGGCTAGTGGTGAAGCCATGGCTGGTGGTGATGCCATGGCTGGTAGTGACGCCATTGCTGGTGATGACGCCATGGCTGGTGATGATGCAGTGGCTGTTCGTGACGCCATTGTTGGTGGTGATATCATTGCTGGTGGTGACGCAATGTTTGGTAGTGACGCCATTGCTGGTGATGATGCAATGGCTGGTGGTGATGCCATTGCTGGTAGGGACGCTATTGCTGGTGTTCATGCCATGACTGGTAGTGTCGCCATGGCTGGTGATGATGCAATGGCTGTTGGTGACGCTATGGCTGGTGGTGTCGCCATGGCTTGTGGTGTCACCATGGCTGGTGGTGTCGCCATGGCGGATGATGACGCCATGGATGGTGATGACGCCATGGATGGTGATGACGCCATGGCTGGGTGTGATGTCATTGCTGGTGATGACGCCATAGCTGGTAGTGACAAAATTGCTAGTGATGACGCAATGGCGGGTGATGATGCAATGGCTGGTGGTGATGCCATTGCTGGTAGGGACGCTATTGCTGGTGTTGACGACATGACTGGTAGTGACGCAATTGCTGGTGATGACGCCATGGCTGGTGATTACGCTATAGCTGGTGGTGTCGCCATGGCTGGTGGTGTCGCCATGGCTGGTGGTGTCGCCATGGCTGGTTATGACGCCATGGATGGTGATGACGCCATGGCTGGCAGTGACGCCATTGCTGTCGATGATTCAATGGCTTATAGTGACGTGAAAGCTGGTGGTGACGCCATTGCTGGTGGTGACGCCATTGCTGGTGGTGACGCCATGGCTGGTGGTGACGCCATTGCTGGTGGTGTGACCATGGCTGGTGGTGACGCCATGGCTGGTGATGACGCCATACCTGTTGGTGAGGCCATGGCTTGTGGTGGTGACGCCATGGCTGGTAGGGAGGCCATGGCTGTTGGTGACGCCATGGCTGGTGGTGACGACATGGATGGTGATGACAACATGGCTGGTGGAGAGGCCATGGCGGGTGGTGAGGCCATGGCTAGTGGTGCTGCCATGGCTGGTGGCGAGGTCATAGCGGGTGGTGATGCCATCGGAGCTGGTGATGCAATGGCAGGTGGTGAGGCCATGGGTAAAGTGACGTCATGGCTGGTGATGACGTAATGGCTGGTAGTGACGCAATGGCTGGTGGTGACGCCATGGCTGGTGATGACGCCATGGCTGGTAGTGACGCCAAGGTTGGTGGGGAGGCCATGGCTGGTGGTGACGCCATGGCTGGTGGTGACGCCATGGCTGGTGGTGACGCCATGGCTAGTGGTGACTACACGGCTGGTGATGACTACATGGCTGGTGGTGACGACATGGCTGGTGGTGACGACATGGATGGTGATGACAACATGACTGGTGGTAAGGCCATGGAGGGTGGTGACGCCATGGCGGGTGGTGAATCCATGGCTGGTGGTGATGCAATGGCTGGAGGTTACGCAATGGCTGGTGGTGATGCCATGGCAGGTGGTGATGCCATGGCGTGTGGCGACGCCATTGCTGTGGGTGACGTCAATGCTGGTGGTTACGCCATGGCTGGTGGTGATGCCATGGCAGGTGGTGAAGCCATGTCTGGTGGTGACGATGCGATGGCTGGTGGTGATGCCATGGCTGGTGCTGATGCCATTGCTGGTGATGATGCCATGGCAGGTGGTGAAGCCATGTCTGGTGGTGACGACGCGATGGCTAGTGGTGATGCCATGGCTGGTGGAGATGCCATTGCTGGTGGTGATGCCATGGCTGGTGGAGATGCCATTGCTGGTGGTGATGCCATTGCTGGTGGTGACGCCATGGCTGGTGGTGACGCCATGGCCTGTGGTGATGCAATGGCTGGTGGTGATGCTATGGGTGGTGATGATGCCATGACTGGAGGTGATGCCATGTATGATGGTGATGCCATGTATGATGGTGATGCCATGGCAGGTGGTGACGCCATGTTTGTTGGTGACGATGCGATAGCTGGTGGTGACGTCATGGCTGGGGGTGATGCAATGGCTGGTGGTGATGCCATGGCTGGTGGTGACGCCATGGCTGGTGGTGACGATGCGATAGCTGGTGGTGACGTAATGGCTGGTGGTGATGCCATCACTGGTGTTGACACCATGGCTGGCGGTGACGCAATAGCTGGTAGTGACGTAATGGATGGTGGTGATGCCATGGCTGAAGGAGATGCCATGGATGGTGGTGATGCCGTGTCTGGTGGTGACGATGCGATGGCTGGTGGTGACGTCATGGTTGGTAATGACGATGCAATGGCTGGTGGTGACAATGCCATTGCTGGTGGTGACGATGCCATGGCTGCTGGTGACGCAATGGCTGGTGGTGAACCGATGGCTGGAGGTGATGCCATGGCTGGTGGTGATGCCATGGCTGGTGGTGACGCCATGTCTGGTGGTGACGATACGATTGCTGGTGGTGACGCCATTACTGGTAGTGACGATGCCATGGCTGGTGGTGACGATGCAATGTTTGGTAGTGACGCCATGGGTGGTGGTGACTATGCCATGGCTAGTGGTGACGATGCAATGGCTGGTGGTGACAATGCCATGGCTGGTGGGGATGCCATTGCTGGTGATGATGCCATGGATGGTGGTGACGCCATGGCTGGTGGTGACGCCAATGCTGGTGATGACACCATGGCTGGTGGTGATACCATGGCTGATGATGCCCCAATGGCTGGTGATGACGCCATGGCTGATGGTGACCCCATGGCTGGTGTTGACGCCATGGCTGGTGATGACATTGCTGGTGATGACGCCATGGCTGGTGATGACACAATGGCTGGAGATGACGCCAATGCTGGTGGTGATACTATGGCTGGTGTTGACGCCATGGCTGGTGTTGACGCCATGGCTGAAGGTGACGCTATGGCTGGTGATGACGCCATGGCTGGTGATAATGCAATGGCTGGTGATGACGCCTTGGCTGGTGGTGTACCATTGCTGGTAGTGACGACATGCTTGGTGGTGACGCCATGGCTGGTGATGATGCCATGGCTGGTGGTGACATCATGGCTGCTGGTGACGATGCGATGGCTGGTGGTGACGCCATTGCTAGTATTGACGATGCCATGGCTGGCGGTGACGATGCAATGGCTGGTGGTGACGATGCCATGGCTGGTGGTGACGATGCCATGGCTGGAGGTGACGCCATGGCTGGTTAGGACTCCATTGCTAGTGGTGACTCCATGGCAGGTGATGATGACATGGCTGGAGATGACGCAATGGCTGGTGGTGAAGCTATGGCTGGTGGTGACGCCATGGCTGGTGGTGACGCCATGGCCTGTGGTGATGCAATGGCTGGTGGTGATGCTATGGGTGGTGGTGATGCCATGGCAGGTGGAGACGCCACGTTTGTTGGTGACGAGGCGATGGCTGGTGGTGACGTCATGGCTGGTGGTGATGCAATGGCTGGTGGTGATGCCATGGCTGGTGGTGACACAATGGCTGGTGGTGACACAATGGCTGGTGGTGAACCGATGGCTGGTGGTGATGCCATGGCTGGTGGTGATGCCATGGCTGGTGGTGACGCCATGTCTGTTGGTGACAATGCGATGGCTGGTGGTGACGATGCCATGGCTGGTGGTGACGATGCGATTGCTGGTGGTGACGCCATTACTGGTAGTGACGATGCCATGGCTGGTGGTGACGATGCAATGGCTGGTGGTGACGATGCCATGGCTGGTGGTGATGCCATGGCTGGTGGGGATGCCATTGCTGGTGATGATGCCATGGCTGGTGGTGACGCCATGGCTGGTGGTGACGCCAATGCTGGTAATGACGCCATGGCTGGTGGTGATACCATGGCTGATGATGTCCCAATGGCTGGTGATGACGCCATGGCTGATGGTGACGATATGGCTGGTGTTGACGCCATGGCTGGTGATGACATTGCTGGTGATGACGCCATGGCTGGTGATGACACAATGGCTGGAGATGACGCAAATGCTGGTGGTGATACTATGGCTGGTGTTGACGCCATGGCTGGTGTTGACGCCATGGCTGATGGTGACGCCATGGCTGGTGGTGATGCCATGGCTGGTGATAATGCAATGGCTGGTGATGACGCCATGGCTGGTGGTGATACCATTGCTGGTAGTGACTCCATACTTGGTGGTGACGCCATGGCTGGTGATGATGCCATGGCTGGTGGTGACGTCATGGCTGGTGGTGACGCCATCGCTGGTGATGACATTGCTGGTGATGACGCTATGGCTGGTGGTGATACCATGGCTGATGATGACCCAATGGCTGGTGATGACGCCATGGCTGATGGTGACGCCATGGCTGGTGTTGACGCCATCGCTGGTGATGACATTGCTGGTGATGACGCTATGGCTGGTGATGACACAATGGCTGGAGATGACGCCAATGCTGGTGGTGATACTATGGCTGGTGTTGACGCCATGGCTGGTGTTGACGCCTTGGCTGATGGTGACGCCATGGCTGGTGGTGATGCCATGGCTGGTTATAATGCAATGGCTGGTGATGACGCCATGGCTGGTGGTGATACCATTGCTGGTAGTGACGCCTTGCTTGGTGGTGACGCCATGGCTGGTGATAATGCCATGGCTGGTGGTGTCATCAGTAGTGAATAAGGAGACAGATTGAGGTAAAAAAATTTCAGAAACGGTTGGGCACTTCCATGCCGACTTGACCCTGTCGGGCCAGATCGTCCATCCCTCTTGTTTTAGGTGGTTAGGTTAGGGCACAGTCAGCGCGCTCCTGGCTGGCTGGCGGTGGGGGGGTGGTGGTCCCCCCTGCGGTCCCGGGGGGACCACCACCCATGGTGTACCTGAGGAACTGGTGCCCTATCCTAACCTGTTTTTTTTTTTACTTTTTGTCGCCTTGCTTTAAGATGAGTCTAGGGCCTCAGAAGGGGGTCTCTACTTATTAGAGGTACCGAGGATGAATGTTCAATAGTTGGAAACTAAAAAATACACTGGTGAAAGGCGTATAAACGTTTTTGGAGTATTTAATGGCGCTAGTATATGTGTGCGTGTGCGTGTTTTTTTTTTATGTAAATACAATATATCTGGGTTTTTTTAATTCGTGCTGAGAAGTGTATCTGAAATAAAGGGTTTTGTCTTTACATTTGGTAAGGTTTCAATAATCAGGTAAAAAATAAAATGAGAAAGACTCGAGTTATATTTTTTCATCAGTTACTCCAGATTATTGTCCCCATTTTCTCTATATTCCGTTTCACAGAAAACATCTTCACGGGCGGTCCAGTCCCATTTTCGTCTATGGGGAAACTCAGATAATTGACAGAAAAAAATATATGCAAGTTCCATTTTTATTTCCAAACACTGGATAGTTTAATTATTAAGATCGGGAGTTTGCTTATTATTCAGATCTGGAAACAACAATGTATTATTATTTCATTTTTTTTTTTCATCCAAACATATAGAAACAAGTATTTATGTTTTAATTTTAGAGGAAAGAACATTATCAAATATTTGTTTTGTTTTGTTTTTTCATAGGAAAGAGCAAACGTCAGAAAGACATAATTCATTCATTCATTCAGTATTATAGATATCCCCCCCACCGGTAAATTAAAAACATTATTTATTTTCATCGTTAGTTCTTTTTTATTGAACAAATAAAACCTACAATACACATAACTACAATAATATATATATATATATATATATATATATATATATTGTGACGGAGTTCCCCCCCCTTATAATTCTCCCACGCCTGCAGTAAGAGTCATGTCTGCTTTTCCCAAGCGTTCTCTACGTTGCAGGCTACAATTTGATATATGGGAGAGGGTGAAGTGTTCTCGGAGAGCCGAGAAATTTGTGAAATAGTGATATTCTGGCCTGTGGTTTAGGCCCTTTAGGGAGCCAAGATGGCGCTTGCTTCCCTGATCTCCCGCCAAAACCGTGTGACGTCAGTGGCACCGGATTGGTCACCGACAGCAGTGTGGCACCGGGAGCCAATGAAAACCTCCCATAGTAAAAGTGACGTCACGAAGGAAGGGGGTCCGGCCAGCGCGCCGGGCTGGCGCCAGCAGTCAGACACGACACGTCATAGAGGTCGGACGTGCGACGAGTGGTCCTGACTGTCGGACAGCTGTTTCCCACTACCGTGGATTTACGCGTCACCTGAAGTCCGCCAGTACTCTGAGAAGTCTTCCCTAGTTCATGTGTTGAACCAGAAGAGGGAATTGACGGTTATTAGAGCAACAAGTGCTCCAGTCAGGTACTGTGCCAGTAGCAGTGAAGCCGTGCAGTGACGTATGTTGACGTCTGTGGCAATTCACCAGTTCGTGACAGCGTAGTGGCTGACAGAGCCACTGGTAGCTGAGGAAGAGAGGACTATTTGGGGAACCGGACGACTGTAGCTGAGACGTAGGCGACAACCGTTGCTGGGAGAAGACGACGGCCAGGAGACCGACTCCAACCTTCAAGAAGTCAAGGAGGAGGACGGACCTGCAGTGAGGAGGCACGGAGACGACGCGCTAAACGGTGGGACGACGAGAGGCTCTGGTAGGACACGACGACGTGTAGTGTGGGGGCGTTCCCGACACGAGGACCAGGAGCTACATCTCGACTTTCATCGGAGGATAGGGTGAAGTAGGTGGTTCTAGTTCCCTCCCCATTCCCCTTTAGTTAGCTATGTTATTTGGCTATATTTCTAGCCTGAGGATTTTATATGTCGTGAGCAAGTCTCACCCATGTCACGATAAAGCACCAGTGTGCTAGACAGTACTATCAAGAGTACTAGTAATATTCATGTTGATTATTGGTGTGTACAGGCACCAGGAACCAGTGATAAATTTACTGTGTTGTGTATATCTTTCTATAGATTTTGATATGAACATATAGTGGTAAAATATATATAAGATTATGCCAGTATTTGGAGGTTTGGCTATGTGCCCAGAAACTATTTATTTCCATGTATTGATGATTGATTTATATACCATATATATGTCTATGTTCATTCAGTGAATAATCATTTGCGAGTACAGTGAATTATTGCGTTATCGCCAACGAGAGAAAGTACTGAAAACTCCAGTGTTAATAGTTTATAATATATTGTTGAGTGAAGAACAATGTGAAGCCATTACAGTGAATCATTATAGCATTGATTGTAGAAAAGACTGTTTGAGCCTGAGTACAGTGTAACTAAGTAATTCGGTTTATTTGTGCCAATATAGAGTGTGCGAGTTTATAGTAATATTGGAGAATTTAAAGAAACCGCGCGCGTGAATCTAGCAAACAAGCAAATTTCGCGCGGAGAGACCATTTCGATCAGCTGTTCTTGACACTTGATGAGGAGGGGAGAGTGTTGCCCTCTTGCGGTCGCATAATATCCGTGGGAATTACCGGCCGAGTCAGGATCTGTTGATTTATCGATTATTGTGTGGCCTTGTGACATCTTTCATACATTTTAAGTAAAATACAAAACTATCTTAGTGTTTTTATCATTCCCTCCATTGATCTTGTGGCTATATTATACTGGTAAACATAGAGTGATAACAATAAGTACCTGCCTGATTCCTGATCTTTGAGTGTGACCTTGCCAAGGCTACCACTGAATACACCAGTCCACTGATGGTGTTACTGGCCACCTTAAACACCAGTTGGCGATCTTGTGAATAACCGTAGAGCCCTATTGTTGGGGAGGGCACACGACAGTCGATGTGCACGAGTCGTGTTCTCACTCTTTCTTAATTAAAGGCCGTTAAGATTGACTGGGAGACTCTCCTGGCGTGCAGTGGCGCCGTGAGGATCGAGGGAGGACCCGCAGGGCTACGGTGAGTTACCTTGAGCACAACTATTGCTCACCCCAGAGTAAGGGTAGAGAATAATAGAGAGGTGAAACCCCCAACATTGGCGACCTCGCCAGGATACCGATCGGAGTAAAGGTTGCAGTGGTACTTGGCAGTGGTGTTAGAGATCAGGTGAAGATTATCACTCGTAGCACAAGATGGAGGATGATAAAGTAGCGAGGTTTATTGACTCTAGAGACGAACAGGTGCTGGAAGAGTGCACCAAGGCACAGTTACAGGCTATAGCGGATCATTTTGGAATAAAGCTGAAATCTGCCCGAGTTGGTGAAAGAAGACTAGAGATAATGGCTCAGCTCAAGGCTCGAGACGAAGCTTTGGGGGAGGAACGGCCCCAAACACTGCCAGTGAGGGTGAACACTTGAGTATTGGTGGAAGCAGCAGGGGATCCAGCGGCAGCAGGCACAGCATTAAGCTGGAAATAATGAAGCTGCAGCTAGAGGCACAGCAGCGCAAAGAAGAGCGAGAGGCACAGCAGCGCAAAGAAGAGCGAGAAGCACAGCTGCGCCGGGAAGAGCAAGAACGAGAAGCACAGTTACGCAGGGAAGAACACGAGCGAGGGCTGAGACAACAGGAAATAGAAGCCAACAAGGAGGTGGAGCTGAAGCGAGCTGAACTGGGACTAGGTGCCCCTGCCCCGCCACAGGAAGACCGACGAGTGAGGGAACGAGACCTGCCGGTCTTTGTGCCTAGTGAAGCCGAAAGTTTCTTTGATCACTTTGAGAGAGTTGCTGCTATGAAGAGGTGGCCGAGGGCGGAGTGGGCGGAGTTGGTCCAAGGGAGGCTCACAGGTGAAGCTCGTGAAGCCTTCACTATGCTCGATTTCCAAGAATGCACTAACTACGATGCGGTAAAACGAGCTGTGCTCCGTTCCTTTAAGCTCACGCCAGAGTGTTACAGAAAGAGGTTTAGAGAATGTACCCGGTTGCCAGGAAAATCGTATGCGGAGACGGCGAGGGACATAGAAAGAAAGCTCCTTAAGTGGCTGGACTCTGAAGAAGCAAGGTCGGTCGAAGAGGTCAAGGAACTAATGGCCATGGAAAAGTTTATGTCCGTGCTCTCTCCTGAGATCAGGATGAGGGTAAAGGAGGCGGACATAAAGGACCTGAGGGCCGCAGCCGACCGAGCCGACATGTTAGAAGAAGCCCTACGCCCACGCCGAGAGGGACAGCACCGACCACCCGCATACGTCGGAAACGATAGGAATTATAGGAGGACGGATGGATGGAGGACAGGAACGAGTTCTCCCAAATCCCCCCTCTCAAGTTGGAACACCCGAGGATCAAAAGGTGCTGTAGAACCGATCAAGAAGAGCCATGCGAGAGAGCTCGGGAGCTGTTGCTGCGACCAAGGAGTCAACAAGCGGTGCGGGAAAGACGCAGGGTGCAACGGCCTTTGGAGGCAGTGCTAAGGCGAGCGGTGGCGTATGGTCTCCGCCGAAGGGCCGCTGCTACAACTGCGGAATACCCGGACACGTCGCGCGGGAATGCAGACGCCCAAAGCAGCGGGGACACGTTGCTTTAGTGATGTTCGAGGACCAGAGGGCCGAGGGAGTGCGGGATGAACCCGTGCTGAATGGGGAGAAGAAAGTTCACCCGTTCGTGTGTCCAGGAACCGTAAGGATGGGGGTCGCAGACCCCATCCCAGTGAAGATGCTAAGAGACACCGGGGCTGACTTTACCCTGGTAAGTGAAACCCTGTTCCCCGAGGGTTACGAAAGTACCAGTGTGGGGGTGGCTCGGGTGGCCACTGTGGGAGGCCCAGTGAGGATGCCCCTACACCAGGTAACTTTAAATTCCGAATATGGATGCCAGACCCTAGTGGTGGGAGTCTGTACATCAATGCCCAAGATGGAGGCGCAGGTCATCTTGGGGAATGACGCGTGTGGAGGATATGTCCTCCCGCATCTCGTGAAAGGCGAAGAGTGCCCAGAACAACACGAGGAGACAGGCGAAGAGTTGAACGCCTGTGGGGACGAGAAGGGAATCGCACCGGTGGCGATACCAGTTTGTACTGTGACACCGAGACAACGCGAAGAACCAGGAGGTCGTGGATCTGATGGGGCTGAGGAGTCGACTGACAGCCTGGGAACAGATCACCTCTGCGTAGGACCCAGAGAACGAGTGGAGGGCGAAGGTAGCCCGAATGGTGAGTTGCAGGTGACCCTCACCGGTTCTCCAGGGGTAAACCGCGCTCGTCTCGAAGAATTGCAGCAAGAGGAGTTCCCCGAATTGGTTAGTAAGGCCGAAGGAGGACGTGTGGGTCCTGAGAAGGCTTACTTTCCATTTATCTATATTATATATGCCATGCTATTCATGATGAAGGAACGATGGACACCAGGAGCGACCGTGGGAACGGTGAATAAATATGTCCAGAAGTTCAAAGAACGTCTCACTAGAGCGAAGAAACTGGCTAGGAAACTCCTGAAGAAGGCGCAACTTAAGATGTCGGAGTGGTACGACAGGAGAGCTGCACAGAGGGATTTTCAGGCCGGATCACAAGTAATGGTTGTGCTGCCAGGTAAAGGTAGAGCGACCAGGTCGCGGTTCAAGAGACCATACCGAGTGCTGCGACGGTTGGGTCCAGTGTCGTACGAGATTGGGAAGCCGGATGGACCCCGAAGAAACAGGTGTGTCACGCAGACCGCCTGAGACATTTCTTCACTGTGGAAGGTAGAGCCGCCAAGCAGGACGGAACGGATACCCGAGAAACCCAGCGGAAGACGGGTCTGTGTGTACCGAGGAAACGAGAACTCCCGGAGGAGGAAAGTAAGTGGTCCAGGGCGAACGGCACCAGTCTCACCCACGCTGAGAGTCTGACAAGGATCAAGATCAAGCACATCAAGGGGAAGGACGACGAAGTAGCGGACGCCCTATCCCGCATACACTAACGAGACATGACTCTTATTTTAAGGGGAGGGGTATGTGACGGAGTTCCCCCCCCCCTTATAATTCTCCCACGCCTGCAGTAAGAGTCATGTCTGCTTTTCCCAAGCGTTCTCTACGTTGCAGGCTACAATTTGATATATGGGAGAGGGTGAAGTGTTCTCGGAGAGCCGAGAAATTTGTGAAATAGTAATATTCTGGCCTGTGGTTTAGGCCCTTTAGGGAGCCAAGATGGCGCTTGCTTCCCTGATCTCCCGCCAAAACCGTGTGACGTCAGTGGCACCGGATTGGTCACCGACAGCAGTGTGGCACCGGGAGCCAATGAAAACCTCCCATAGTAAAAGTGACGTCACGAAGGAAGGGGGTCCGGCCAGCGCGCCGGGCTGGCGCCAGCAGTCAGACACGACACGTCATAGAGGTCGGACGTGCGACGAGTGGTCCTGACTGTCGGACAGCTGTTTCCCACTACCGTGGATTTACGCGTCACCTGAAGTCCGCCAGTACTCTGAGAAGTCTTCCCTAGTTCATGTGTTGACCCAGAAGAGGGAATTGACGGTTATTAGAGCAACAAGTGCTCCAGTCAGGTACTGTGCCAGTAGCAGTGAAGCCGTGCAGTGACGTATGTTGACGTCTGTGGCAATTCACCAGTTCGTGACAGCGTAGTGGCTGACAGAGCCACTGGGTAGCTGAGGAAGAGAGGACTATTCGGGGAACCGGACGACTGTAGCTGAGACGTAGGCGACAGCCGTTGCTGGGAGAAGACGACGGCCAGGAGACCGACTCCAACCTTCAAGAAGTCAAGGAGGAGGACGGACCTGCAGTGAGGAGGCACGGAGACGACGCGCTAAACGGTGGGACGACGAGAGGCTCTGGTAGGACACGACGACGTGTAGTGTGGGGGGGCGTTCCCGACACGAGGACCAGGAGCTACATCTCGACTTTCATCGGAGGATAGGGTGAAGTAGGTGGTTCTAGTTCCCTCCCCATTCCCCTTTAGTTAGCTATGTTATTCGGCTATATTATCTAGCCTGAGGATTTTATATGTCGTGAGCAAGTCTCACCCATGTCACGATAAAGCACCAGTGTGCTAGACAGTACTATCAAGAGTACTAGTAATATTCATGTTGATTATTGGTGTGTACAGGCACCAGGAACCAGTGATAAATTTACTGTGTTGTGTATATCTTTCTATAGATTTTGATATGAACATATAGTGGTAAAATATATATAAGATTATGCCAGTATTTGGAGGTTAGGCTATGTGCCCAGAAACTATTTATTTTCCATGTATTGATGATTGATTTATATACCATATATATGTCTATGTTCATTCAGTGAATAATCATTTGTGAGTACAGTGAATTATTGCGTTATCGCCAACGAGAGAAAGTACTGAAAACTCCAGTGTTAATAGTTTATAATATATTGTTGAGTGAAGAACAATGTGAAGCCATTACAGTGAATCATTATAGCATTGATTGTAGAAAAGACTGTTTGAGCCTGAGTACAGTGTAACTAAGTAATTCGGTTTATTTGTGCCAATATAGAGTGTGCGAGTTTATAGTAATATTGGAAAGTTTAAAGAGACAGCGCGCGTGAATCTAGCAAACAAGCAAAGTTCGCGCGGAGAGACCATTTCGATCAGCTGTTCTTGACACTTGATGAGGAGGGGAGAGTGTTGCCCTCTAGCGGTCGCATAATATCCGTGGGAATTACCGGCCGAGTCAGGATCAGTTGATTTATCGATTATTGTGTGGCCTTGTGACATCTTTCATACATTTTAAGTAAAATACAAAACTATCTTAGTGTTTTTATATTCCCCTCCATTGATCTTGTGGCTATATTATACTGGTAAACATAGAGTGATAACAATAAGTACCTGCCTGATTCCTGATCTTTGAGTGTGACCTTGCCAAGGCTACCACTGAATACACCAGTCCACTGATGGTGTTACTGGCCACCTAAAAACACCAGTTGGCGATCTTGTGAATAACCGTAGAGCCCTATTGTTGGGGAGGGCACACGACAGTCGATGTGAACGAGTCGTGTTCTCACTCTTTCTTAATTAGAGGCCGTTAAGATTGACTGGGAGACTCTCCTGGCGTGCAGTGGCGCCGTGAGGATCGAGGGAGGACCCGCAGGGCTACGGCGAGTTACCTTTGGCACAACTATTGCTCACCCCAGAGTAAGGGTAGAGAATAATAGAGAGGTGAAACCCCCAACAATATATATATATATATATATATATATATATATATATATATATATATATATATATATATATATATATACGCACACACACACACACACACACACAACTGCATTAATGTTAAGCTAATTTTTTTCGGGCAACACCCAGAGCTGCCCTCTGGGGTCAATTTTAAGTAGTTATCCTCGGGAGGGGGAGTAGTTGTGCTCCACATGATAACCCCAGGTATCCACAGTCTCACACTGCCTCGCCACCAGCACACGGCCAGATGGTTCGCAACCTAATCCAAATGCGTCCAATGCGGACAAATTTGCCACAACATTGGTAAGCCACAACATTGGTATTTGCCACAATAATATATATATATATATATATATATATATATATATATATAATATATATATATATATATATATATATATATATATATATATTATATTTATTTATTTATTTATTATTATATTTACTTATTTATTATTTTTTTTCACACATAGCCATTCACCATGCCACAAGCCCAGGCTGTGCATTACCCACCAACGAACTCTAGAGCAGTGATTCGGACCCATCGCCAAACCCGCGAGTTTGGTCTCCCGACTTATTCAGCGATTGTGATGACCCAGAATCGTCGCCCTCGCCACATACTCCACAATGCTCAGGCATGCCCCCCGATTTCGACCCTCGACCGTCAAGAACCCGCCGCTATAAACGTGAGTTATTACTATTATTTATTTATTTATTTATTCACATTATCAACGCCGTTATTGAAAAAGAGATAGAGAGAGAGAGAGAGAGAGACAATATATATATAATATATATATATATATATATATATATATATATATATATATATATATAATATATATATATATATATATTATATATATTCACGCCTCTTAAAAGAAAAGAAAACATTTTTTGTCTCCCACCAGGGCAAACATATCGACTGTTAATACAACGACAGCGGCAACAGCAGCAGCAGCAGCAGCAGCAGGATGCCCAGCCAACATCACCCAGCTCACCAATCAACACACGAGTCAGGTCTCCCGACATGTTCAGCCCCACGCCAGATTTTGAACAGGATTTCTCACCTAAAACACCCCCATACTTGGCGGACGATGACGATTCCGACCCGAACCGCCACCACCAAGAACCCGCCGCTACAAACGTAGTTATTTTTTTTTAATTATTATTATTATTATTATTATTATTATTGCGAGTGCGAGAGAGAGAGAGAGAGAGAGAGAGAGAGAGAGAGAGAGAGAGAGAGAGAGAATCATATAGACACCTCTTAAAGGCTATTCC